ACCGAACATCCGCGGGCTCTGGGGTGCAGCACGCCCACCCCCAGACCTGCGCCCGGCCGAGCTGCCTGCAGATGGGCCCCGAGAGCCAGGCCCGAGAACACCCACCGCGGCATTATTTCTGCGGCCTCAGGCCGGAAACAGCCCAAAGACTCAGGAGGTGAGTGACCACATCAGCCAGAAGACATGGAGGAGGAGGTTCATAGTAACTTCATTCACCCCCAAATGCCCACCAACCAGCAGTATATTCGGTCAGTGGGACGGCGCTCAGCGAGTTTTAAAAGGCCTCTGCTACCTGCAACAACATGGACGCATCTCACAGGCTCGATGCGGTGAAAGCATCTGAACCTAAAAGTACACACGGTCCGTTATTTCCCATGTACACAGAGCACACAGCACTCACCGGCAGTACACAGTAGACAGGGTTCGCCCTTGGTCAGTGGGGGGGTGACTGGGGGGGAGCCGGGGAAGCCTCCCAGTCTGGGCGGTGGGCTCAGTCCTCTCACTGTCCGCCTCCCCTGGGGACTAACTCGCTTTTCTCAAGCTTGCTCTTCCTCGCTTAGCAACATACTGTGACTATTTGCCTGTCAATAAAAGCAGCTCTCCTTCATCAATTTTAAGTTGCTATCATCTTTTCTTGATTAAACGTACTTTTAGAAGTCGTCTCCCTAAGTTAGTTGTGAGTGCTACGGGGATGGGGCGTCACCTTGCACATCACACAGAGAAAGAGAACCTGGGAGCTGTGCAGAGTCACCCCTGGGCTGTGTAGCCTCGGACAGATCACGCGCCCACCCGGCCTCAGGTTCCTGGTCTATGACATGGAAGTAACGCCCAGCTCATGACACACATGGGGAAGTTTTAAACAGATGGTGAAGGTAAGGAGCTTAACGCCTTATGGGGACTCAGCAAAGGGCAGCTCTTCCCTGCCACCCTGACCGCGGCCGTGCTCACAGAGCCCCCGATGAAGCTGTGATGGCCCCCTACCCTGTCCCCGCACCCAAGCAGCAGCCTAGAACAGCAGGCTCCCAGCCTTTCTGGCACCAGGGACCTGTGTGGTGGAAGGTCGTCTTCTCATGGACCTGGTGAAGGGGGGTATGTTTTGCAGATGACGCAATCACACTACATTCAAGCTCTCACCTCCCGCTGTGTGGCCCGGGTCCTAACAGGCCGGGACTGGTAGCAGTCTGCAGCCCGGAGGTGGGGGACCCTTGGTCCAGAGGGTGACGGAGGGGCAGCACCAGCTCCACAGGCTGCTTCTCAAGGCCGGCAGTCACTGGTTAGCCTCTGAGCACACACCCTGGGATCTCGGGTAACAGGGATCCTGAACGGCTTTCACCGTGGCAGACAGTGCTCCCTCAGAAGGCACGCCAAGGAGGAAACGCACTGAGTGTCAGGGCTGGTGGACGGGACTGGATGCAGCCAGGCCGTCCCAGAACCAGGGGTGCCAGAGGGAGATGTTTTAAACAAGGAGGCCTTGAAGAGGTAAACAGCACCACCGTGTGGCCACACGCTGCAGTGAAGCTGTTCTGCGCTTTGGCTCAGCCTTGGGTTGAAGTCACCACGTGGTATTAGTACATCCATTTCTCTCTCAGTGCCACCCCTGTATCTCAGAGACCCTGATCTAGATGAAATGGAAAGACGGAGCGAACACACAACAAGCCACCAAAAGCAAAAGGCATCTAATAGACTTAGAGTTCCTGAGGGCTGTGAATCCCAGCATCAGACGAAGCATTGGCGGGGGTGGAGGGGTGCTCTCGGGAAATAATTCAACTGAGTGTAAAGAGGACAGGTCGGAAGTCCTTCCAGGTGGCCCAGTTTATAGCACGAGAAGAACAAGCCAGGATTCAGGGCAGCAGACCTGGCCAGGAGTCAAGACTCCCCTGGGGCTCGCCGGCAGAGCCCGAGCTTGGAGCCTGTCACACACAGAGGGGAGCAGCGAGAAGAATCTCCCTCACACATTCCACACCGCAAGGAGGTGCAGTCTGCTCATGCAGCAACCCAGTCCCGGGGCTGCTAGGAAAAGGGCTCCCCCAAACCGCCTGAGGCGGAGCTGGGCAGGCTGCCTCCTCCTCACCCTCTTTGTTCTCACAGGGTCTGATTCGCACCTCTTTTACAGCATCCCATTTTGCTGTAATCAGACGCTTCCGTATCATGTCCTATTACTAGATTGTGAGCTCTTCTGGGATAAGGGCCACGTATTACTTTTTTTGGATCCCTGGCAACTCACACATGAGCAAAACACAACTGTTTACTTTTAAAATATTGGTTGACTCTAGGCCATCTGTTCACTTGGGGTCCAAGACCCCAAATCTACCAGATTAAATGAACTGTGCCAATCCCGATCGAAGCCGGAAGCTTGGGGGTTACGTTGGCTCCTGGTCGAGGAGCCAGGGGTACACCAGGCACGCTGTGAGCTCGGTGACTCCGTGCCAGGCCCCGCTGCTGTGCTAGGGGGACACTGTGTCTGGGCCGAGCCTTCTGGGGCAGGGCAGGGTGGTACAGCAACAACAATGGCAACGACAACAACAAAACGGACAGCCTGCCAAGACACACAGAAGGCTGGCTCAGTGGGAGGAGCGGGGCCGAGAGGAAAGGGGCGGGGGTGGACGTCGTAAAAGGGGACGCAGGTGGGTGGACAGACAAGAAACAGACGACCCGGAGCTTGGGAGCCAGAGGAACATCAAGGGCAGGAAATCGAGGAGCAGGGAAGTCGTTGTCCCACCAGTTCCCCAACACATAAACACGGGTCACTCCCTGTAAGACGTCAAGAAGAAACAGGAAGGACTAAGGCCTCGTCCATCCCGCGCCTGAGAAAGAAGCAGGAAAGGGTGGGCCGGCCAAGAGCGGCTCCGGGGGCTGCGTCGGGAAACGGCGGCCCATCCACCGCCATCTCTTTCCCCGAAGGGTCCATGGAGGGTCTGTCTACAGCACCCATAAGAGATGACCTCACACCCTCACCCAGCCATCTCCAGAGGCCCCTTCTTACTCTAGTGGTGGACACCTCCAATCACAAAGGCCGGCTCTAATAAACTACTCTCTGGGCTCGGCTCAGATACGTCTCTTGGTAACCCCCATCTGAAGCCTCCCAGGAAACAAATCAACTGTACACCTTCCAGATGATGACCTTTTGATGCTGCTGAAGCCAAGAACTATGCGATCCCCAAGAATTCGCTTCTCTGAGACAAAAGTGAGCTTGGAGTGGGAGTCAGTGCTCTGGGGTCTGCTGTGGGTCAGGGAGTACGGGTTTGGCCTAAGGGATAACTTAGCCGTTGGCTGTCTGCCTGAAGTGCAGATGGGACGTTCCCTTGGGTGGCAGGGAGAGGAAGTACCGAGATCCTGAGAGTGCAGAGCACACCGGTAGTTACCTCCTTCCATCCATCCCGCCCCTCCCCCACTGCGGAGCAGCCACGCCCTTTGGGTGGGAACGATCCCAGCCCCAGCTCCTAGCGTGGGCCCCTCCGTGGTGTAAGCTAAGCCGGTTGTCCCACCCCACTCACTACCTGAGATCAATTCAGGGAACGGCAGCCCAGGCCTCGTCAGTCCACGCACAGCATTTCCCTGGCCGCAGAGATTGATTGAGAACTTAAGATGGTTCACGGGAGCAGCAGTCTGGACTCTGGTGACAGAGTGACAGCTCAAGTCTGAAGAAGGGTGCCCTGCTGCTCCCCTGGGAACGGTTCACAACTGCCGATCACCCCACACCTGAGAGAGGAGCCGGACCGCAGGCGGAGCCAACACGCAAAGAGAGGAGAAGAGCAGAGATTGCAATTCCGCTCAAACTACCTGCAGCCCCTCTCCCCATGCGCTTCCCAGTCCCAGGAAGCAACAGATTGGAACTGGGAGTTTCTTACATGGAAAGACTGGCAGACACAGCAAGGAGCTGTGAGAATGGAGAAGCCGAGGGAGGAGTTCGAGTCTCACTGTGACCACAAGGATGTCCCTGAGGGAGGGAGACGGCAGGGGGCCAGTGAGGCAGCGAGGGTTCTCGCTGGGAAAGCAGGAGCAGCAAAGCCCCACGTGGGCCCTGAAGGAACCCCAGCGCTTTCCCCACCGGAAATCCCTGAGGAATGGGAACCTTCCGGTTCAGGGGTATTGAAACTTCTTCCTCCTTTTTGTAATCCTCACTGGAGGACATTTTTTCATTGCTTTTCGAGAGAGAGGGAGAGAGAGAGAAACATTGGATGTGAGAGAGAAACATCGACTGGTTGCCTGCCGCACCCTCCCGGACCGGGGATCCGTGCGTATGGTCCACGCTGACCAGGGATCACACAAGCAAACAAGGCATGTGCCCTGCCCGAGAATCGAACCCGCGACCTTTCGGTTTATAGGCCGACACTCCAACCAACTGAGCCACACCGACCAGGGCTATGGAAACTTCTTGATTTCTTTTTTTTTTTTTAATGATATTGTATGAATTTGTGATGTTCTTTTTCTTTAAAGATTTTATTTATATTTTAGAGAGGGAAGGGAGGGAGAAAGCGAGAGAGAGAGAGAGAGAAACATTAATGTGCAGTTGCTGGGGGTCATGGCCTGCAACCCAGGCATGTACCCTGACTGGGAATCGAACCTGCGACACTTTGGTTCTCAGCCTGTGCTCAATCCACTGAGCTACGCCAGCCAGGGCAGAAACTTCTTGATTTCTAATGCGAAAGATGGCCGTGATGCCCCGAAGGGCGGTTATAATCCCCATCTGCGGGAGATTATAAGTGGCCCAGGAGAGCAGAAAGGTCACCTCAGATCAGAGTAAACAGGAAGTTCAGGGGTGAAGACACAGCAGCCATGATAAGAACTGTGGAGACGAAGAGAAAAGGGTGAGTGGAGAGGGCACCCAGAGGAGCCGCCAGGATGAATGAAACACGAAGGCGGGAAACGTGGGCCCAGAGGACAGAAAGCAACCCCGCGCGTGTCTGACGGCGCTGAGAGAAGAGAACACATGCCCGTTAGATGGTGGAGATGGAGGCCAGGGCACTGGTCAGATGCCCGACACTCGCGCCCCCACTCACCTGAGGACACGCCCCTCGGGCCCTCTCCGTCCTGCGCTCCCCGAGGGGCCGCGCACCAGGGTGCCTCCCCTCGCTCCAGCTGGGGACTCAGACTCAGCCGGTTCGGTTCGGGAGATGGACATGCTGCTCGAGGGGAAGGAAATGGGGCGGGCAGGTGAGTTGGGGCGGGGGGGCACAGAGTAATCCCAGGGCTCCTCCCAGGCCAGTGTCCCCAGGGACAGGAGGGGAAAGAAGGGACATTACTAGGGAGAACAAGGAAAGGACATCCAGGGAAGGGGGCAGGAGACCCAGAGCAGAGGGGCAGAGGCTCCCAGAGGTCAGGGAGTCGACAGCGTAGCAGGTGCGCAGTGAATGTGAGTGAGCAAGTGCGCGACTGCACTCGCGGGAGAAGGGAGCTTTCTGGTTCTCGCCCCGTCTCAGCGCTCAAGCTCAGACATCTGCAGGACCGGGTTGGTTTGGGGCCCGGTCTTCCAAACTGAGGGGCTGGGGCACCGAGGCCTCGGTGGGCACCAGGAGTCTGGTCTCTTCCCACTGCACCCACAGCACAGGGCGAGGGCGTGGGCAGCCCTCACCCCGGGGCAAGGAGGTCCCACGTGAGGCCTGAAGGTTGGACACCAGCACTTCCTGCTTCCCAGGAACCACTGCGGTCGGCCATTAAGAATCCAAGAGCCGCTCTGGCTGGCGTAGCTCAGAGGATTGAGCACGGGCTGCGAACCGAAGTGTCGCAGGTTCGATTCCCAGTCAGAGTGCATGACCCCCAGCAACCACACATTGATATTTCTCTCTCTCTTTCTCCCTCCCTTCCCTCTAAAAAATAAATAAATAAATAAATAAATAACATCTTAAAAAAAAAAAAAGAATCCAAGAGCCTGAAGTCCCTGCTCGGCCAAGGGCTCTCAAAGACGCCAGAGCCTCTGAGGAAGAAGGAACCTGGAAACTCTGAAGGGCCGAGGCACGGTCGGTCCAAGGGGAAAGGGCCTCACCCAGGGCAGCCACAGCCCCATAAATTATTCTCCAGCATCACGTCCCTGCACGGGGCCCTCTGCGTGGGGGCCAGGCAGGTCCCTCCACCCTCAGAGAAGCAGACAGCCACGTCCTCGATGGTCGCTGAGTCCTGAAACGACACGTGTTTAAATGCCCCGGGACGAGCCCAGGTCCCAGGCCTGGAGTAAGGGGTGGACTGGGCAGGAAGAACCACTGCAGGGGGTGCTGGGCCAGCTCCCGGTTCTGAACGTCTGCAGGTTCCGCCCCTGCTTACGAAGGGGAAAGCCATCGGCCATCGACGTTCTCCTGTCTCTTCGCCTGTCCACCAGCCAGCAAACCCCCTCTCAGCTTTCTCACCAACCTGTGCAGGTTTTCCCTGCTCGCCTCTTTGCCAGAAACAACGGTCTGTGCTCCAGGGGCTGGCCTTTCTCCACCACGAGTCCTTCTCCCGAGGTCCGAGGTCACCAGCCCCGACACCAGGAGCCACCACCACTCACTGTGCCCGCGCCAAGCGCTTCGCAGCTATTACCTTGTGCCTATCTCTCGCGAGACTTGTGGGGGTGTTCGATCCCTGTGATGGAAGAGGAAACTGAGGCTCGGAGAGTGGCTGCCCTCACAGACGCAGAACTGAGGCCGAGCTCCGGCCTGTGTGACTCTCTGGCTCTCGCCCACTGTGCCACCACCCTGCCTTCTGCCCGCCCTCCCGCCACCCCTGCTGCCCCCACGTGGGGGCGCTGCTTCTCCTCTGCCTCCCAGTCACTGCCACCAGCCGAAGAGGCAGCTGAGGGCCCCTCAGAACACTCAGGTCGCCCTGGGAAGCACTCAACCGGACAGACGCGAACTCTGACTTCACTCCCCGCACTCCCCGCACTCCCCCGCCCCCGGCACACTCTCTGAAACACCCCACCCTGCTTTTCTTCCCCAGGTGCCTGTCTCAAAGCCCCCCTTTCCTCTGTCTCCGGGATCCAGAGCCCCTGCTCCTCCTCTTTCCTGCTCTCTCACCCTCTTCAGAAACACAACAGCGCTAACTTAGAGGCATCAAAGTTTCTTACGATTCCCGACCACTGCCCCGGTCGGGACAGCGATCTCCATGCAATAATCCTGGTCTGTTTCGAGTCAGCTCTTGCCCTATGAAGTCCCCACCGCGGCCCGCCCTGCAGTCCGGGGCCCAAGGGCTTCTGCTGGCTCACCTTGGCCTTCCTAAAGGAGTCCAAAGCCTCAGCACCACAAACAGTTCCATTCACTCTCCAGGGGCCCAGTTCACCTGCCAAGGGTCGTCTCTTCAGCCACCACCCTTAACCTGCCTCCTGTCACCATCCTGTTAAGAACCCAAACGCTGTCGTCTCCCAGACCTGCGCCCTGGCGCCCGGAACCCCCCTGCCTGAAGACCGGTTCCTCCCTCCCGAGCCTGCAAACTCACGCCCCTTTCAAGACCCACCCCAAACGTAACCAGCTCTGCAAACCGGTGTCACGTTCTGGACCTTGTTCGCTGCGCACAGCGCTGGGAACGCCTCTGCCGCGGCACCGGCTCGGGCTGTGCAGCCAGCCAGCGGCAGGTGCGACTCCCCTAGGCGGCACTCTGCGGGGTGTCACACACACCTTGCGCCCTGCCTGTTCCTCCGGGCCCTCCGCTCTGGGAGGTACCCTAACTTCCCGGTCACCACACTGACTCCTTTCCGCCCCTTATCTGGGTGGAGAGCCCGGGGCAGACCCCAGCTGGCTTTGTGGTGCCCGCCCCGCACTCACGGGGCGCATCCGGGCCCGCACGGGCTGTCCCTGCAGCAGCTCCGGCACGGGACTCAAGCGCACCCGGTTTGCCCAGCTCGGCTTGGCCTCGGGCACCCATGGGCAAGTGAGCCTGAGTGGGGCCCTCCCGAGAGCTGCCCAGGGTCAGCAAGGGACGTTCTGGACCCAGGCGGGCCTGGCATAGCGGCCTTGCGCCCGGGGATCCCAGCTCGACGCCCAGCTCCCCACGCTCCGCCTGAGCCCGGGCTCCGCACCAGGGAGGTGGAGGCTGCAGCACTCTGCCGTTCCGGCTTGTCTAGGCCGAGGGAGGGCGGCTCATCTCTGTGGTCCTCCTCGCTTCCCCGCGAAGGAGGGAGGGGAGAGGGGTCCAGCTCTCCCTGAAACACTGACCCGTCCCCAGGGGCGCGCCGCTGCAGGGATGGGGGTAGATAGGAGAGCGGTCAGCCGGAGGGGAGGCTGCCTCGGGGAATCCTCTCCCGGAGGTCTTCCCAGGGACGGCCCTTCTGCACTCCGCTGGGCCCTTGCAGCGTGGAGGCCGACAGGGAGCAGCACACACTGCACTTGACCAGGCCCGTTCAGGTGTCCACCTGCCTTCACTAGGTCTCACATTCCCAGGGAACAGCCTGCTTCCTCCATAGGTTCACCCTTGTGCCTCAAACAGCCGCCCGATGTCTAGCACCTCTTAGGACCCAGATTCTCCAAGTGCCAAGGAATAGCTGTTGAGTAAAACAAACATTGAACCAGTTTTTCAGTTGAAGAAAATAAGGCCCCAAGAGAGGAAATGGCTTATCCAGCATCACACAGCACAATCGGGAAGTTACGCTTTTAAACAGAGTTGTGGAAATAAACAGAGACCACCCCTATGAGAAGAACAAGCAAACACGATTTATTCAGAGGTTATTATAGCAAAGGAGCCGGCCATAGTCACTTACTTGCATCTGCCGGAGTCTCTAAGTAGGCAGAGACGTGGGAAAGGGTTACAGTAGAAAAAAGGGAGGGCTTCAGGTATGCTCTGCTTGGACAGTGTGGGCATGCGGGTTAGGTGGAAGCAAAACATCTCTTGCAATTGGCTGGGGGACCGCATTCATCAAATTCTGGCTGTTGGGGGCTGCGGGGATTCTTTTGGCTTCCTGGGCTGGTTGCTGAAGATGGAAGGTCCGAGTTCTGTTTTTTCCATACAGTCGGGCCATTACCCACGGGTACACGCAGTCCCTTCTGGTCCCGTAAACATTCTCCTTCCCTCCGTCCCATAATTGGAACACTGTGTGGGCTTCTGCCTGAATCAGAGCTTCCCGAAGAGCTATCCTTTGATCTCACATAAACACCGGCTGCCTCTCACTTTGGCTTTTAGTGCGAGGTTGGCACAGGAGTGTGTGATGCTGACTGGCAGGTGGTTAACCTTGGGCCAGACAGTCAAGAGCCCCGCTGCCGTGCCGAGTCTCCTTCCATTTCTGGAAAAAAGGAAGGATCCTGGAAGGCTAGGCAGGTGCAGAAACCATAAATAAGCCCATCGCTAAGTTAAATGAGACTACGACCCAATCTAAAGGCAGCGTGAAATGATTCTCCCCTGCATCTCTATTTATTTCAGCGGTGCCCGCTGTTGCATCCTGGGGGGGCGGGGGCAGCCGCAGAAGTGGCGAGCATTGGGGGAGCAGCCGATGTCATCTAGAATTGGAACAAAGGGCAAACAAGACTGGGGTACGGACGGTGCAGCTGGACTAGGGAACCGGCAGAGAACCCCACGACAGGATCCACAAGAGGTCAACAGAGCCCTCTTTCTGGTCGGTGCCCAGTTGCTCAGAATCCTGGACAATGCATGGATTGGGAAGGTGAGAGCAGGCGGGACCAGGGACTCGCTGGCGCCCTGTTTAGGGAACTCAGCCCACCCCCCTGCCCACCATGGAATGTGCAAATAAGGCGGAAAACAAGCACCCAAATTGCTGAAGGACCATGAAACGAGGCTTCCGCGGGGCGCGGGAGGTGAGAGCTCCCGGGAGCCTGAGCCGAAGTGGCCGCTGCGCTCAGCGCACAGGTTGGAAACCGCTGTAGCTGGAGGGAAGGAGGCCCCGCTGGCGCCAGTCCTCCGGCGGCCCCAGCCCCGCTCCCTTACTGACTGCTGAGCAGACCAGCTGACAGACACCCAGCGAGTCGGTGCAAACTCCAGCAGCGACCGACAGAGAGCGCCTCGGCACTGAGGTTCGGCCGCGGGCGGGCCCAGAGGTGCGGTCGCGCAGGCGTCCTCTAGGGCCCGCGGTCGCCCTAGCGCACGCCCGCCCCGAGGCCGCCTGTCCTGTTGTTGATTCCTCCAGCCCTCGCCCCCACCCTCCCTCGGGGCTTTGGCGGAAGGGTGGAAGGCAGAGGCGTGTGGAGGCTTCGCCCTGCTCGCCATGGATTGCTGGCCGCGGTTCCCACGGAGGGTTGGGAGGGCTGGGAAGGCAGCCGCGTGGGCTGATTTCCCTGGGGCAGGCCAGCCTCCGCCCGCGGAAGCCAGTAGTCACTGCCTGTCCGTCCCGCGGCCCCTCAGGGGCTGGATCCGGACCCCCGGGTGGCCCCACGGGCCGGTGTGAGAGGGTTCTGTGAAGCGTGATGGGCCAAAGCGCGGATCCGCGCTGAGCCTGCGGAGCCGCACCCTGCTGGAGGCGCTTCCCTCCGCGCTGCAGCCACACTGGCCCACGTGGGTGCGCACCCTGCACCTCAGTGCGCCTCTGCCACATGCTTTAGCCGCCCACCCCACCTCTAGCAGCAGCACCACCACACACAACTCCCATTGACCTGGCTTTGACATGTGTCACGTATGTTCGTGACAGAGTCTTTCCTGTAAGTCAGCTGGGCAGCTGCTTGGCTCGCTGCCTGCTGAGCAGCCCGGCACCAAGGAACAGACACGGGTCACACGCAGTAACCACGCTGTTCACTCAGCTCTTGTTGAATGCAGGTTCATTCAAAGTAGAGCATCAACACACACTAATATCCTACTCACATTCTCACAATCTAAGAGAAAGATAACACACACAGCAATCAATGGGGGATAACGAACCCAAGTCCCACAGCCGCAGTCTGCAGGTCTGGGAGACCCCACAGTGGGCAAGGGAGTTGTCAGCGTCTTGCCAGAAAAAATCTCCGGAGCCAGGCGGGCAGCGGGGCAGGCGAAGTCCTCAGTCCAGCAGGGCAGAGCCTCCAGCAGCCGAAGCCAAGGGAGACCGGTGTGGCGAGGAGCGGCACTCTGGGGTGTGGGGCTCGGCGGTCTCGGCAGTGGTCTGGAGCCCGCCTCAGTTAGACCCTAAAAACGGTGGGCTCCACCTTCTGGGCCTTTGACGAGTGTCTTGGCTCCCGTGGTGGCAAGTGCAGATTTGCCCAGGAGCCTCTGGGTGGTACGTGGCTGTTCTGCTTGGCCCCCATGATGGCAAGTGGGGAACTTCCCCAGGAGCCTGTGTATGGGTGGTCCCGCTCTGCAGACACAGCTATTCCGGTCACAGGTGCAGATGTCTTAGGTGCGTCTCCTTGCCAGATGTGTCTGTTCCGACTTAGGTAGTTTCCCTCTTGAACCAAAGTGTCATGGCTGACTGGCAGCCACCTTGGTTGACATGAGCGACTCCACTTCGTTTGAGATGCTTTATGCCGTCTCGATCAGACCAACGCCGTTTTATGGGTCCTGCCCTCCACAGCATCCTCCAGGCCTTTACCTAATTACCACCCGAGTAATGGTCTTCCTGGCTCCCCACCCCCTCTCCACTCCGCTCTTCTCCTTTGCAGCACTTTACACAATTGGGATGACATGTTTCTCTGGGCAATGATTTGATGTCTTTTCCCCTCCCTCAGGCCATAACTCTAAGGAGGCAGAGACTGTGTCTGTCTCCTTCGGGATTGTAGCCAAATTACTGGCAGCAGGTGGCCAGTAAATCTCTGTTCAGTGGATAGATGGGGCTTTTCCAAGGAAGGAGGGAATGAATGAATGAATAGGTGTGAGGAAAGGAGTGAATAAAGGTGAGAATGACTGTAAGGTGGTGTTGCCACCCATTAAAAACTGGGGGACAAAGTTCAGCTCACTGGAGTTGGCCCAAAGATTCCTAGTGGATTCTAACGCTGGAGAAAGTTCATGGTGCTGAGTACTTGCTGTGCCCTAAGCAATCAGAGAGGACTTCATGGAGGCAGTGTGGATATTTCCAGCTCCTGTGGAAGGGAGCTGCAAAAGGCAAAGGAAACTCACTCAAGAGGGCATGTGGAAATCCTCTGGCTATCTGAGGAAGCAGGGTCCCTGTTTGAAGGTCATTGAGAAAGTTAGAGTCACTTGGGGGGTAACCAGAAGTGGCTGAATGGAGTCTGACCTTCACCTATTGCAACAATGGGCGAGGCTGCTGGACTAAAACGTCAGAATCAATGGCACAGGTTTCTCCTTGGGACCTGATCTGACATGTCACAGAGGCCCTGAGCAAACAGTCAACTCACCTCACCCAAGCCATGCAGCCGTCAAAGTCCCCATTTCACTGGAACGCTATTGTGAAATAAAGCCATCCGTCTGCGGTCTCTATCATCCCTGGGGCATTTCCTAGTTTCAAGATTTCCAGTCTGCACTGGTTAGAGAAGTGTGCAAGCCTCTAGGGCCAGGGGCAGGGCGTGAAGCCAGAGGCTCGGAAACTGAAGTCACATGGAGAGAGGGGGTATGTGAAACTGGGCGCCCGGTGCATTTTTGATCAATCAGATGGCAAATCAGTGAATCATTGCTTTACTTATTGCACATGAGTAAATGAAGTAGTGGGTGGTCAGCAAGCCGAGGGGGGTGGGAGTGAGGCCAAGGAAGGCTTTGTGGAGAAGACGCTGGAGCTGTGTCTGAAAGGCCAGAGCATTTATTGCCTGAAGCTGGCAAGGAGGCTGTGGTCACAAGCCAGAGGCCTTCTTGCGGTCCCAAAGGTCCTCCCATTGGCTCCAGCAAGCAGTCATTCCACTCCCACACGCCATTTCATCAGGGTTATTTATTATAACTTGCAGCCACGGGGCAAGGTCCAAGCGGGCAGACCTTTCCATTGTCAAGGCCTCCCAGCCTCTCGCCGGCACCCAGAGAGCAGCGTGTCCAGATCTTAACCCGGGAGGGCACAGCCATGGTGCTCTGGGGGCCCGTGCTGGGAGCCCTGCTGGTGGCCGTGGTGGGATACCTGTGCCTGCGGGGGCTGCTCCGGCAGCGCAGGCCCCAGGAGCCCCCTCTGGATAAAGGCTCTGTGCCCTGGCTGGGCCACGCCATGGCTTTCCGGAAGAATATGCTGGAATTCCTGAAGCACATGCGGGCCAAGCATGGGGACGTGTTCACCGTGCAGCTCGGCGGCCAGTACTTCACCTTCCTCATGGACCCCCTCTCCTTCGGCCCCATCCTCAGGGACGTGAAGAGGAAACTGGACTTTGTGGAGTATGCCGAAAAACTGGTGCTGAAGGTATTTGGATACCAGTCCGGGCCGGGAGACCACCGGATGATACACTCAGCCAGCACCAAGCACCTCATGGGCGACGGCTTGGAGGATCTCAACAAAACCATGCGGGACTGCCTGTCCTTGGTCATACTGGGGCCCACGGGCCAGCGTCCGGACGCCAGGAGGTGGCAAGAGGACGGCCTCTTTCACTTCTGCTACAACGCCTTGTTCCAGGCTGGCTACCTGAGCCTGTTCGGCTACACAAAGGACCCGGAGCAGGACCTACTGCAGGCAGAGGAGTTATTTGTGCAGTTCCGCAAGTTCGACCGCCTGTTCCCCAGGTTCGTTTACTCCTTGCTGGGGCCCCGGGAGTGGCTGGAAGTGGGCCGGCTCCAGCGTCTCTTCCACCAGACCCTCTCGGTGAAACACAGCCTGCAGAAGGATGGCATCAGCAGCTGGATCACCTACATGCTCCAGTTTCTGAGGGAGCAGGGGGTAGCCCCGGCCATGCAGGACAAGTTCAACTTCATGATGCTCTGGGCCTCCCAGGGGAACACGGGGCCCACCTCCTTCTGGGCCCTCCTGTTCCTGCTGAAGCACCCAGCAGCCATGCAGGCCTTGAGAGAGGAGGCTGCCCAGGTCCTGGGGGAGGCCAGGCTGGAGGCCGGGCGGTCGTTCGACCTGGAGGTCGGCGCCCTGCAGCACACGCCGGTGCTGGACAGCGTGATGGAGGAGACGCTGCGCCTGCGGGCGGCGCCCACCCTCCTCAGGGTGGTGAACGGTGACCACACCCTGCAGATGGCCAGCGGGGAGGAGTACCAGCTCCGGGGCGGGGACATCGTGGCCCTCTTCCCTTACCTCTCCGTGCACATGGACCCCGACATCCACCCCCAGCCCACCGCCTTCAAGTACGACCGCTTCCTCAACCCCGACGGCAGCCGGAAAGTGGACTTCTACAAGGCCGGCAAAAAGATCCACCACTACACCATGCCGTGGGGCTCGGGCGTCTCCATGTGCCCCGGGAGGTTCCTGGCCCTGAGCGAGATGAAGCTCTTCGTCCTGCTCATGATCACGCACTTCGACCTGGAGCTGGTGGACCCCGACACGCCCGTGCCGCCCGTGGACCCCCAGCGCTGGGGCTTCGGCACCACGCAGCCCAGCCACGACGTGCGCTTCCGGTACCGCCTGCAGTCTCCTGAGTGAGCGCGGCCCCGGGGGCGGGGGGCCGCAAGCCTGGCCAGGGGGCGCCCTGGGGGTCTCCACCTCTTCTCGCCCCTCTGAAGCCCCAGACCCCCCACCAGCTGCTGCTCCTGGCGGCTCTGGGGGCACCCTCTACCTCTCTGTCCTGGTACCTCTGTCCTTCTTGCTCTCTGGTCTCCTTCTAGACACCTCCCAGGCTAATCACTGTCTCTTTAAAACTCCTCCTCTCACAGTGGGTTCAGCAGAATCCCCCTTGCACCAGAAATCTGCAGGAAGGGGAACTGCGCGCAGGAAGCTCTGTTCGGGGAAGAAGGCCCACCTCGACCAGTCGCGCCCCCGGCACAGCAGCTGGTCCCCTCGAGCGGCACAGCAGCTCCCAGCTGCGAGTCCCCACTGCCCCCCACTTAATTCCTTTCTCAGTTCCATTCCATGTCTTCTGGAAGTCACATTCTAAAAACAGTCTTGTTCAATAGCAATATAAGGCAAGCCACATGGGTCATTTTTCATTGATTCCCTACTTGACACATCTCTTAAAGTAAAAGAAACAAGTAAAATTTCATTTTTATAATGTATTTCACTTACCCCCATGTAGCCAAAATATTAGCGTTTCAACATGTCATCCATATAAAGAATAGTTTTGCATTTCTTTTTTAGAATTGCCTTCAACATCTGGTAGGCACTTTTTTTTAAAAAAATTGAATTTATTGGGGTGGCATTGGTTAATACAATTAATTATATAGGTTTCGGGTGTACAATTCTAGATTGCATCGTGTGCATATTGTACTGTGTGTTCAAAACTGGCGTGTGCTTTCTGCCCTTGCGGCAGGCACCCCTCGGTTCCGGCCGGGCACAGGCAAAGCGCGCGGCTGCCCTGGGGAACAGCGGGCCTGCAGAAGCCCCGCCTTCCCTGCAGGCGTTATCCACGCACCTCCCTCCACACCCAGCCTGTGGGCCCTCTGTCCGTCCTGCTGCTGCTCCCAGACACCGGCTTCCAAAAGCACCTCTCACTGGTGCTATTTTATCTTCCAGCTCCCCATTCCCTTCGCACACCCGACATTTAAGGTTTGCCGCAGTTGGTCCCCACATTTCCCACGCAGGGCAATCCAGCTTTTCCCCAGCCTTCCCTGGTGGAAATGTCTGTAAAGCACGTTACTTGCTTTTCCTGCCAACCCTGGTGCCAGCTGCTCCTGAAGCCTTCTTAGACCCGGCCCGGCCCATCCCCCGCCTCCCGCTCCTGCGGCTCCCCTAACACCTCCCGTATCACAGTGCGTCTGTTAAGAGTCCTTGCTCTCTGTCCTGGTTTCCTCCTCCTGCCCCTTCCCCACACTGGGGTCCATAGGGCCCCGAACCTTATTCTTTCATCTCTGAGCCCCCAATTCCCCAGATGCAGATTAAATGACAGAAACCCGACTTCCAGTCTCGGCTAGTTTACTTTGTGCCCTCAAATCATTTCCTTCCCCTCCCTGTCCGCCCTCAGCTTTCAGGCACCCGAACTAGAGACCATCCCTGTCCCCAGGCATGCTTACCGGGGCTGGGAGGGCACGAGATGGGGTGGCTGCCGGAGTTCAGTGGGCTGATGGCAGGACCCTGGCTGGGGCTGGGACTGTCCCTGCAGCATGACCCCCTGCCAGGATCACCCAGTGGGGCTTCTCCCTGCTACCCCCTCCCACATCTCTGACTGGCCTCTTCCCTTCTGTTCTGCACTGAGTTTTGCCAGGACAATAGGCCTGGGCTGAGGGCATCTGCCCAGGCATCTGCCTGGAGCCTGATAGAGGTTTGACTGGTTAGGAGAAGATGGGATGTCCCATCCTACTCCGCAAGGGGCCAGGAGCACAGGAGAGGGACAAGGGGGCTGGGAAATGGGGGGTTGTCCATGAGGAGCTTCCCAACCACCTGCTCACAGAGCCAGGCCCTGTGCCCGAGCAGCTGAAGGATGGAGCGAAGTGGTGAGGCCTTCACATACCTCCTGGACCCTGCCCAGGCCTTGGTGCTGCATCCTGTGCTTTCCCCCAGGCCCAAAGGAAGGCGGACCAGGAGCCTGGCCTGTGGACAGGCTGGCGGGGAAGGGCTGGCTGCCCAAGCCCCCTGAGTAAGGGACTCAGGAGACCAGGCTCAACCGAGAGCAAACTTCGTGGAGCCTGTGATTGGTTTGAGGGTGAGCCTGGGACCCAGAGCAGCCGAGGTGGGTCAGGGGTGGGGTGATCCCAGGTGTCCCATCCCACAGCCAAGGGTGTTCCCCATGACCACAGGCCTCCCAGGAAGCAGGGAGCACCCAGAACTGGAGTGGGCACGTGGAGGCCAGCTCCCACCACCGGCGCCCGTGGTTCTGGGGCCCCTGCGTGGGGACGGCTGGAGACACGCTCTACCAGGGCCGCCCTTCCTTCGCTGGCAGCAGGAAGACTGAGACCCGCAGGGGTGCCCCCAGTCAATCACTTCCTGTCCCGACCCGGAAGGTCTGTCCCCAGTTCCTCGTTTCTGACCCAACTCTTTTCTCCCCCAGAGAAAAGCCCACCGTGTGTACTCCCTGAGGACAGCTTACAACAAAGCAAGGCAGGCGTGACAGGCCGAGGGTGGAACCCCAGAACCTGGGGAAGAAGGGAGATGATTTCCTAGGCAGCAACGTGCCCTGCATGCCCTCACCATCCTTCACAGGGCAGAGGGTGGGCAGCCCGGCCCCCAGGCAGAGCCCCGCTGCCCTTCACCGTGGGCCACTCCGCAGGTGGCATGTTGCTGGCAGCGCCTCCTGGCTGCCCGACCCTGGGGCCACCCCCAAGGCTGCGATGTTAAACAAAATAACAACGATATTTCCCTGGCTGAACTAGAGGGGTGGGAGCAGCCTAGTGGGGAATGGACCTCAGGTTTCTCTGAAGATGGGAGTGAAGGTTGAGGGTGCTGTGATCACTCTGGCTGTTGGGTGCAGAGTATTGGGTTAGCCAAAAAGTCTGCTTTTTCCATAAAATAAGACACATTTTTCATTTTCACCAATGACTTCATGGATTTGGATATTGAGTATGTGGGCTATCTCCTGCTATTGGCTTCTGGTGGGCAGAGGCCAGGGGTGCTGCTAAACATCTTCCAGTGCATGAGACAGCCCCACAGCAAAGAATTATTTGGCCAAAATGTCAATAGAACCAGGAAACTTCAAAACCACTTCTGAACCTTTCCATCAGTCATAGCACCTTCTCCATATACTGCACAAGTATTTTATTTGCATTTCAGTTGTCTTTTTACCTTTTTTGGAAAAAATGAAGCATCATATGCCAAAAATGTTGTGTATTTTCATCCATCTTCAATATTGAAATGGACGCACAAAGACTTCCGATCAAGATGACAACGAAGACAGACATGGCTCGCCTCCTCCCACAACCACATCAAACTCACAACTAAACTATAGAACGACCGTCACTCAGAACCATCAGACATCAAGCTGAATGGAAGTCTGACAACCAAGTAAAGAAACCACATCCATCCAGACCGGCAGGAGGGGCACAGATGCAGGACAGGCTGGTCCCAAGTCCATGTGTGGTGAATACAAATTCAGGAGACATATCTCAGGACCGAGGAGTCCCAGCCCCACACCAGGCCCCCCAGCCCAGGGTTCCAGTGCCAGGAAGGTAAGTCCCCACAACTTCTGGCTGCAAAAACTAGGAGGGATTGAGTCAGTGGAGGAAACTTCTGGAGCCCCAAGCAGTTCCTTATAAAGAATTCACACATGGACTCACCTACTCAGACTCCTCCCTCTGAGCTCCAGCACCAGGGTGGCAGCTTGAAAGGCACCGGTGGCACACAGGGAGAAACTGAAGTGTCTCGCATCAAGGTGAGCAGAGGCCATTGTCCCTTTGCTAAACCTTCTCCCCACTGACCTGGCAAGCTGGTGCTATATCTGAGACTCCATCAACCTGGCTAACACTGTTTGCTTCACCCTGGAGATCCCTTGAGACTCCACCCCAACAAAATTATGGCCCCACTCAAGCTGCTTTTCCATATGAATGGCTGGTATTGGCTCATGCTTCACAACTTCCTCAACCCTCTTAAACGAGCAACAACTAGCCTCTGTGAGCCCCAAGCCCAGCACTAGCAGTAGCCAGCCTAGAGTCACAGCTTGGTTTCTCCTGGGAATCTCCAAGCACAGCACCAGTAGCAGCCATCTCAGATTGCTTTACAGCTCAGATTGGGTGGTGCCAGGCAACACAGGTGGGGGATGGCCTTGGCCTCCACCACTGGGGAAACCCCAGAGACTGCACAACCAGTGGGCAGCTACAGACAATGTGACAGCGCCACCACCCTGACCCTGCACAGCTGATCCCCCACAGAGGGCGGAGGTTGGTGGTCAGTGGTCACAGCCAGTCCTTGCAGCTGACTGGCCTGGGTAAACCCCTCCCATTGATCTGCCAACAGCAATCGAGGCTCAACTACAAGAAGAGGGGGTACTCAGCCCACACAAAGGGTGTACCTCGAGTACCCATCTTGGGTGATAGGGGAGGCTGTGCCAGTGGACCCTATGGGACACCTACTACATTAGGCTATGCTACCAAGACACGGAGTCAAAGCAGCTCTACCTAATACATAGAAACAAACACAGGGAGGCTGCCAAAATGAGGAAACAAAGAAACATGGCCCAAATGAAAGAACAGATCAAAACTCCAGAAAAAGAGTTAAACAGAATGGAGATAAGCAATCTGTCAGATGCAGAGTTCAAAACACTGGTTATAAGGATGCCCAAGGAACTTAGTGAGGACCTCAACAGCATAAAAAACATCCAGTCAGAAACAAAAGATATGCTAATTGAAATAAAGAACGATTTATAGGGGCACAACAGCAGAGTGGATGAAGCTGAGAATCAAATCAATGATTTGGAACATGAGGAAGCAAAAAACAATCAATCAGAAGAACAAGAAGAAGCCGGAATCCAAAAAAATGAGGGTAGTATAAGCAGCCTCTGGGACAACCTTAAGAGGTCCCACATTCTCATTCTAGGGGTGCCAGGAGGGGAAGAGAAAGAGCGAGAAAAAGTAAATCTATTTGAAAGAATAATGAAAGAAAACTTCCCTAATGTGGTGAAGGAAATAGACGTGCAAGTCCAGGGAGCACAGAGACTCCCAAACAAGATGGGGGCAAAGAGGCCAACTCCAAGACACATCATAATTAAAATGCCCAAGGTTAAGGGTAAAGAGAGAATCTTAAATACAGCAAGAAAAAAAGCAGTTAATTACCTACATGGGAGTTCCCATAAGACTGTCAGCTGATTTCTCAAAAGAAACTGCAGGCTAGACGAGACTGGCAAGAAATATTCAAAGTCATGAAAAAGCAGGGACTTACAGCCAAGATTACTCTACCCAGCAAAGCTATCATTTAGAATCGCAGGGCAGAGAAAGAGCTTCCTAGACAAGAAAAAACTAAAGGAGTTAATCATCATCATACCATTGTGGTAGGAATTGTTAAAGGGACTTATTTAAAAAAAAAAAAGAGGATAAAAACTATTAACAACAAAATAGCAAAAAGTACATATGTATCAACAATTGAATCTTGACATCAAACTAAGCAAACAGGAAGAACAGAAATAAAATCACAGACCCAGAGAGCATTGTTTTTAAAGATTTAATTTATTGATTTTTAGAGAAAGGGGAAGGGAAGGAGAAAGAGAGGGAGAGAAACACCAATGTGTGGTTGCTTTTCATGTGCCCCCTACTGGGGACCTGGCCTGCGACCCAGGCATGTGCCCTGGCTGGGATCGAACCGGTGACCATTTGGTTTGCAGGCTGGCACTCAGTCCAATGAGCCGTACCAGCCAGGGCCCAGAGAGCATTTTGATGGTTCCCCGATGGGAGGCGGGTGTGGGGGAATGAATGAAGAGGTGAGGGGATTAAGAAGTACAAAGAGGTATTTAAGGAAACTGGTCCCTGGTTCCAAAAAGGTTGGGGACCACTGCAATCGACGGTAGGAGGACATGACGATAGGAAACAGAGGCCAGCTGGGCAACTGTCGCAGCAGTCCGAGGAGTGTGATGTCCTGGAAGGAGTGAGCGGATGCTGGTGATGGTCGAGAGCTGAAAACTGACCACTGAGTTTAGCAACATTGTCAGTGAGGCCCTTGGAGAGAACTTGGGTGGATACCCAGCTGAGCTGGGTCCCATCCGCCATCATCAGACTGTGGCATGGCCACTTGGGTTTCCTTTTCCCCCACACCCTCCTTGTTGGGAGAGTCCTCCGCCTGCCTCTCCCCAAGGTCATTCACGCTGGTCATTTCTTCTTGGCCGGTGAGGTTGCTACTCTCACAACAGCTGGACAGTGGGGCCCGGGGAGGGCAAGGTGCCTGGTGCCACCCACACACAGCGGCCAGGGAAGCCTTCAGGTACTGGCCGAAGCAGCGGACGGAGAAGGCGTAGAGGACAGGCATGAGGCAGCAGTGAAAGAAGGCGATGGTCTCTGTTACCTGCAGTGCATAATCCAGGTGCTTGCTGGCCTTGCAGTCCCATAAGACTTTCAGGTCCATCAGCGAGTGCAGAAACAGGACGAGGTTGTACGGGAACCACAGCACGAAGAAGGCCACCACCAGGGCGAAGGCCATCTTCAGAGCCCGGACCCGGCCTGGGGGCTTCAGCCTGACCAGGACCAAGGCGATGCGGGAATAGAAGAAGATCATGGCAAGGAGTGGGAGGAGAAACCCCAGAATGTTCTGCTGGAAGCGCAGGAAGAGCTTCCAGAAGGTCCCGTGCCCCCCGAAATCCGGATAGCAGTGCCACACACCCTTGGGGTTTTCATGCACCTGCACGAAGACCATGTCAGGGATGGAGACAGCCAGGGCCACAGCCCAGACCACGGCAACAAGGACCCAGCGCTTGACCCGGGTCCTCAGCCTGTGGTGGGCCTGAGCGTGGACGATCTCTAGGTACTTGTCCAGGCTCATGCAGCTAATGAAGAAGATGCCACTGTAGAGGTTGATGGTATAGAGGATGCTCACCGCCTTGCACAAAAAGCTCCCGAAGACCCAATGCCAGGCCACGGAGATGACCCAGAAGGGCAGGCTCACCACGAACAGGAGGTTGGAGATAGCCAGGTTCAACAGGTAGACCTCTGTCATCCGCCTGCGAGGCACGTACCGGAGCAAGACCACTAGAAGGAGGAGGTTCCCGCCCAGGCCCAGCGCAAAGACCAGGCTGTAGAAGACCGGCAGGAAGACCCTGCTGAAGGACAGCACCTCGTCTTTCCTGCAGAGCAGGAAGTCCTCCAGGTCCAGGTAGTCCTCGTAGTCAAAGAAGGAGCTGCTGTTCTCAGAACTGGCGACCTGGGTGGTGAGCAGCGGCTGGGAGGAGGCGGTGGTGGCCATGCTGGGAGGATCCGCCCAGTCCTGGAGCTCTGCCAACCAGAGAGTCGTGTGAGAGACAGATGGTGAAGCCGGGCAACCCCGCTCTCTTAAACCCCATTGCTAACGCCCCGGGAGGTCCGACAGGCTCCTCGCAGCTACCACCCCTGCAGCCCAGCAAGTACGAGCCCAAGTGCGGGGAGCTGAATCTGTCACTGACTGTTTATGTCACCTTGGGCAAGTGGCTTAGCCCCGGGTGTTCTCTTAGTATCCACTTCTTTCATTACGGTTAACTTTTCTCCCTCATTGTTTGAAAAAAACTGGTACTGTCTTTCCTATTTTCCCCTATCATTTAGGGCTACCAATCTTCACTTATCTATTGTGTCTCCATACTCCTCCCCATGTCTGGCTTTAATTATTCTGTGTGTAGCTTATGTTTGGTTTTTAAATGAGAGCTTCTCCTCAGTGGGGCCTATTTTCTCTATACACGTCTGGGGTGCCCACTCTGGCTTTGAGCTTTCTTCCCTCCCCTGAGAATTTCCCTAGCTTTTATTTAAAGACTTCCAGTTATAAATATTGTTTTACATCAACACTTTCTTTTATATTTTATGTTTTATTTTAACCAGAATATTTAGGTGTGTAGCAGAAAGTTGTGACCTAATATGTTGACAGACTCAGAACAGCTAAACTTTTCCATCCCTCAGTTTCCCCAGCACCTACTCGTGGGTTCTTGTGAGGCTTAAGTATTCACCTGAAGCACTTCAAGTGCTACGAAGAGTGCCCAGAACATAGTAGGTGCTCAATAAATGGTAGTTTAAATTACTGCTTTACTCAGACCTGAGTCGACCACCCTCCCGCCAGCCTCTCCTCCTCGCCTGTGTCTGTCTAACTGAGTGGCATCACCGACTCCTCTGGCACCTAAGACCGAAATGTGTGTGGCATCTCAGGTTCCTCCCTCACCGCCCTCACCACCACCCGACTGCCTTGGGAAAAATGGCCAGTCTCTCAAAGTCCTGTAAAAACATAGACATGATATTCTTTTACTAAAACGAAGACAAGTGTACTGTGCACATAGGAGTTGAAAGAGATGAGAGGGAAAAGCCAGGGAATGACAGGCGCAGGATTCCAGATGGCGGCTGCCTGGGCAGGAGAAGCCAGAGGCGCTAGAAATGGGTGAGAAATAGAAGCGGAAGGAACCTGTCGATCTGATCCAAGTGCCTTTATTTGATGCTGTGCTGAGAGGCGGGCTGATTCGGGGTCGACTTCAGCACCAGAAGAAGGCAAGAGTGGGGTTTTCAAAAGGAAAAGTGTGGGGTTTGTGGAGGGATAGGGGAGGGGTTAGTCTCTTGTTCTTCCAGGAGCGTGCCTCAGGGTTCCAGGGTTAGGCAATCCAGGACAATGGGTTAGACAAAGGCTGGGCTGTTCCCAGGTACAGGAGGGTCAGTCTGGCCCCTGGCCACCATCGCTGATGCCAGGTGTCTATTGTGCGCAGTGGGAGAGAGTTGGGAGTAAGCCGCAGGCTACCAAGCGAGTCAGGACAACTGAGTCATAGGCAGGCCCGAGGGTTGGAGACTGGCCTGAATGGGTTGGGAGCAGTCTGGCAGGCTGGGGAACTGGCCTGACCCCTTCATCCCAGACTGCTTTTTATTATGTCTTCAAAGCTGGGGGTAAATGACCGAAGGTCTGTCTTCTGGAACTGCTTCCCACTGGGAAGGGTCGTAGAGCTGTCCCTAAGCCATCTCCATGAGCTGTACTTGCACTGCCCTGGTTGATAATGTTGCAGGGCAAGTACTGCCCTGATTTGATTTTTGAACTGCTCCAGCCTGGAAGGTATACACTTTACAAGCAGGTCAAAGATACATGGTCTGAGCATAAGGAGAGGAGTATTGAAAAGAGGGGTCCCAGGATAGGCAGTAGCCAGGTCATGCTGGAGAGCCAGGAGCGAGGATTTATGGAGGGACTCAGAGTCTTGATTTCAGAAGCAGACTCCAGTATACCCTGAGTGTTTTGTTGGGCCTGACCTGATTTGTTAACGTAGAAACAGCACTCTTCTCTGAGATAGAGACATGTCCCTCCTTCTGATGCGGTGAGTAGGTCTAGGGCTCTGCGGCTTGGAAGGGCTACCCCTGCTAGGGAGTCCAGGTGTTCCTGGAGTGCAGCTAGGGTTTCCCCCGTCTCGGTAAGTGCCTCTGCTGTTTCTAGAGATAATTGGTCATGAATACCTAGGGAGGTGCCACCCACTGCAGTCCCAGCCACAGAGAGGACTCCTGGCAATGCTATTATGGGGATCAACGGGCCGACCCTTTTGAATGAATGTCCCCAACCCCTAAGGGGAAAGGGGAGTGAGGCATTTTCCCATGCAATCGATATGTCAGGAAGAATGTACCCCGGGGAGCAGATTCCTGTCCATTTGAGGGGACAGGGTCCAATAGGCCCCTGATCCACAAATCCAATATACCCACGAAGAGTGGTGGATTTCTGCAGAAACTCTGTATTCTGTCCACAGAATGGGCTGGGTTTCTACTGACACATATCTACCGCTAACCAGTGTTCTAGTCCTAGAGTATTTGGTGGCCCGGTAATCAACTCCTTGTGCAGCTAGAGATGCAGTGACTAGGGGGTCAATGATGGGATTTGGGAAGGGTTGGTCTATAAATTCAGTGCAGATAGAGCCCTGCTTTTTCCTAAAATGAACCGCCACAGTGCGATCTCAGTGTAGGGGGAGATAGTCCTGGCCCTCCTGGGAAAGAAGGTTGAAGAAGTTAACTTTTCTGGCTGGCCTCTGTTGCAGTAGGTGGATGTCTATGTTGGCATTGCGCCAGTGAGAGTCGCAGTCATGGGAAGTGAATATGTAAGAAAGTAGTTTCGTCTCCTGGATTCTGGGTTCCGATGACCCCAAGGCTTGGTAACCAGGTTAGGGAGAGTCTCGAGACATTTCTGAGAGGGGGTTGTGGGATTACAAAGCTCCATTGGCAATGGTTTGGGTTAAGTGAGCCAACCAGGGTTCCCTCACTCCTTTGACTTGTGACGCAGAAGGGAAAGGTGGCGTGCAAGTGATTGATGACGTGCAGGAATAGGGGACCCTTGGGACAGTGCCAGTCGTGGGCAGAAAAGGTGTCTGGTAACTTATTTTGGTAGTGTTTGGTAACCTCAGGCCCCCAAGCATCACTGTGGGTGGTTTTGGAGTCCAGACGGCAAGAGACATTACCCCGCTGACCTGGCGGGGTAATGACCCCAGGTGGGGCAACCCACGCCAGGGGCTGGACATACCCCCAGCTACAGGTGGAGAGGCAAGGCCAGCAGGAGTAATTCAACTTTAAGAAGTGGGCTACAGGGACCTCTATGTTGGAAGAGGAGTGTGGTAAGGGTGAATAAGAGAGAGGAGGGAGTAAGAGTAAGAAAATGCCAGCTAGGGTCAATCTAATTCTAGCCACATGGAAACTAGCTCCCAGGAATAGTCCTGGACACGCCCCAGAGGAAGGCATCCCACAGTGCTTGGAGTATGTCCTGTTCGGTGGAGTGCTGTGGTGCTCCCTCAGCTGGGATGCTTATGCAGAGGTCATAGAAGGCCTGGCCGCTAGCTGACGGGGAATCCTTACTGCTCCTGGAAAAGCGAGGGGTGTGGATCATGTGGGGCATGTGGGGAGTGCAGAGAGCTTCTAAAAGGACAAGGACAGTTATAATAATAGCAGTGAGCAACAGGAGAAGGCAAAGGAGATGCTTGAGAGTTCCGCATTGCTCAGGTAGTGGGACACATTCCGGTTGGGTCCCTAAGGAGAGTGGTGTGGTTTATTTCTTCCTTCTGCTCCAAACCGTTGATTTCAGCCCCAGTTTCCTTCCCTTCACGGTTGGTTCCCTGTATGTTTTTCTTTATTTCACTCTTTATAGCCTTCACTTTTTCCCTCTATTTTGCAACCCTACTCAACCATTTCTGTAGGCATCCTGATTACCTGTGTTTTGAACTCCGCATCTGATAGGTTGGCTATCTCTTTATTGCTTAGTTCTCTTTTTGGAGCTTTGTTCTGTTCTTTCATTTGGGCCACATTTTTTTGTCTTGGCGCACCTGTTATGTTGTAAGGGGTGGAGCCTTAGATATTCACCAGGGCAGGACAGCCCATGTCACTGCACTGTATGTGGGGAAGTGGTCAGAGAGGGAACCATGCTGCTTGCTTGGCTCTCAGCTGGCTTTCAGTCACTTACCCCACTACCCACTAGCAAACTGGGACCTTCCGGTGCTGGTTCCCGGGTGGGTGGGTTTGTGTACATTCTAGGGTCTCTCCAACAAATTCTCCTGAGAGGCTGGGAGTTTCTCCCTCTGCCACAACCCCCCCAGGTTTTCACAGTCAGAGATTTCCCCACACTGGAACCGTGGGTTGCACGGTCTCTCCCACTCCCCAGTTGTTCCTCCCAGTGTATCCACATGCAAATGTAGGACTGCCTGGTCTACCAGCCACCGCCTCACCCACCAGGTCCTCCAGTCACCTTGCCACTACACTCATCCTCTCTGCCCTGCCTGCCTGGCTCTGCCCCCCCCACTACCAGTCTTATGTTTCTTCTTTAACTCCTTGGTTGCTGGACTTTCATACAGTTCAATTTTCTGGCAGTTCTGCTTATTTTTATTTTTTGGTTTTACATTTGTTGTTGTCTTTCTTTTGGCTGTGTGAGGAGACAAAGACTAGCTACCTACGCCTCCATCTTGGCCAGAAGTCCTCAAGATTGAATTATGTAATACATTCAATGCCAGTTTATATTCCTTTTGTGAATGATTTATTGTTTTAATTAGTGGGATTCTCATTTTACAAACGGTTCTAATAGTAACAATTTTAGCTTTTTACATAGATGTTGTTAACATTTTCCCCAGCCCTTACTGAGAGAAGTTTTGTCTATTTTTTTCCGGGTGGAATTTTGAAATAAGTGTTGATGCTTCTACTTTCCTTGACACTGTGATCTCAGAGCAGATGGGAATATCCAGTGCTGTGGAGGCGGGGCCTCTCCCAGGGGAACCCTGATGTCCTCCCACTCCTTGTCCCACCCTCGGGCTCCTGGCATGGCGTCTGGGCCAGATATTTGTGAAAGCCACACACACACACACACATCCTGTTGAAACCCCAGGGGCTCAGAGTGGGTCGCTTTCTCCAGGGCCAGGCTGCGCTCTTGACTGGCCTGAGGAACCTGGTCCTGTGCCTTCCTTTCCTGGTCTTCCATTCTGCCTGTGCACCTGGGGTCTCCTGCCCCTGAGCCTCTCCCTTTTCTGAGCAGCGGGAAGGACACCCCCAAGACGTGGCTGGGAGTCTGTGAGCTGCTGGGGCTTGAAGGGGGAAACGCTCTTCTGTGCTTGGGCCCGATTAGGATTTCTTCGTCAGGAGCTGTCGCTGATTAAACACCAGCAGCTCTGGTCTGTCAGCCCTGAACTTGAACCTGACATGGGTTCGCAAAGTCCTTGACTTTTGCTTTAACAAACAACCAAGCCTGATGGTCGCTTTGATCAAAGCTGGATGTCAGGGCAGCGGGCTCTAGGTTGGACCACACCACCTGGAACACGCTGTTCCCTCGCCTCTCGGGGCCTCCTGATTTTTCACTCTGGGACTGAGGCCACCAGCCCCTCCCATCGCTGTCATCAACAACAGCAGCCACACCCCCGCGGAGACCCGGGATCTGGCCAGGCACCTTCATACCCACTAGGGCAGTCCTGCAAGGCAAACCAGGAAGGAGCTGTCGGCACCATTTAACCTAGGGCACAGCAACTTCTTCATGATCTCATAGGAAGTCACTGGCTGAGCTGCAGCTGAACCCTGGTCTGCAGACACCAGGAACACTGTGTTGTCCCCAGTCCATCTCGTCCTTGGCCTCTGCTCTGACCCATCCAGCTTACAGAGAGGGGTCACCTGAGAGAGGTGTGATTTGGGCTCAGGAGGTCTCGGCTGACCAGGACGTTGCCCTCCTTGGCTGGTCCAGCCTCTATAGAGTCCACCATCAATGCCTCAAAGACTTTACTGAGCAAAGCAAAACTCGGCCTCCCCGTGGTCCACAGGTAACGGCCTCCCAAAGGTGTCCACATCCTAATCCCCGTGACCTGTGATTATCTTACCTTGTCTGTCAGCAGCGCCTTCACAGACGTGATCAGGTTAACGGCCTCGAGACGGAGAGGGTATCCTAGATTATCCAATGTAATCACAGATGTCCTCGTAGGGAGAAGGCAGGAACACCTGAATCAAAGATGGGGCGATGGAAACAGAAGTCAGAGTAAAGCAGTTAAAGACAACGATTCTCTGGGAGCTGGGAGAGGCGAGGCACAGATCTCCCCCTGATCCTCCAGGGGAATGCAGCCCTGCTGACCCATTTTAGACTTCTGAGCTCTAGAACATCAAGAGGATAAATGTGGGTTGTTTCAAACCACCGATTTTGTGGTATGCAATACAGGGGCAATAGGTAATATACTTGCTGTGACCTTTTGTGCCCTAAGCATCTCAGAATGAGGGAGTGAGAGAGCATCGTGTCCACCTCCTTCAACTGACATGTGGGGAAACTGAGTCTCAAAGAAGGGGAACAACTTGTGCAAAGATACAGTGCATAGTCAGTGGCTGGACTGAGCCATGAACCCATGGTCCTGCCTGCCCTTAGGTCTCTGTGACCCACACCGCCGCCCCGAGCTGTCCTTCTAGCCCCATTCTGGTTTTTCCTTTGTTTTGTTTTCACTTGTCCTAATTGCCTGGATTCACTTAGTTTACCCAGCAACACCTTAAGTGGAATGAATGGAGGTATCAGTTATGCACATCCTAGTATGAATTAGCAGGTAGTAAGGCCACCCCCGATGAAGCTCGGTAGTAGAACTTCTGGAGAATCCAAAGAACTATATGCAGGCTACAGTGGGAGGCTTTAAAAAGGCCCCAAGGGATAGCAAGGGCAAGGGCTGCTGAGCTTCCCCTGCAAGGAAGCCAAGGGCACAGAGGCAAACCACATCTTGTCTCTAGGGCAACAATAGCGTCCTCCTGGTGAGTGCTTGAGGCTGCTGGCCTGGGCTGGCTCCAGCTTTGAGGTAGCAAGAATCTCTGGCCAGAGAGTCCTGTGTCCTCCTGACACCTCGAGGCCTCTCCAAGAAGTCTCAGTTGAGGGGGTGAGAGAGAGGATAAGGCTCCATCCGTCTAGACAGGAAGGCAGCCATGTCCGCTGGATTCCTTCTATGAGCTACACACTCACGTGCAATTTTGCATCTAATCCTAACCACAGTCCTGGGAAGCAGCGTTACTGTGGTCCCCGTTTTCCAGATGAGGAAACTTGATATCTGGAGAGGTGAGGCCCCAGTGTCCACGGTTTTGCAACAGCCAGTGATGGGCCCAGGATTAGACGGCCCAAACAACACGAGGTGGATCTGACGACCCTCTCCTCCCAGCTGCCCCTTCCACATGGACCACACTTGGACGTCAAGGATGAGCCTCTGACTGTAGGACTTCTGGCCTCAGCCACGAGCGGCAGAGAAGCTTCAAAATCAGCCACGACTTGGAGCCAGCCCCTACGGGCCTGCCAGAGCCAGCTGTGCCGCGTCTGGGAGGCGTTCGGCCGACAGCCATGGAATTAACAAATTCTACTTTCACTGACGGCACGTTGGGAGCCGGAAGGGTACGTGGTGGGAATGTTCACACCGTGGCCTGTGCTACAAACCGGAGCTGCCCCCGCTCCTGCGCATGCCCTGTACCCCACCACCTTTACCAGCACAGCCCTTATCAGGACCCTGTGGAGCTGGACTGCACCCTGTCTCTGTCTCCCACCACCTTCCCTCTTCCACCTCCCACAGCAGTCCCACAGCTGCCCTCCTCCTGAGCCAAGAGCTCAAGGACGGGGTCACAGGTAGGTCCCCTCACAGGTGTCCTCGGCACACCCATGCGGAGAGTGCTGGCCACAGTGCAGCTGAGACCAGTGAACAAATAAACAATATTGAAAGTGACCCCAGAGGCCACACCAGCTTTCAAAAATATAAAACCAAAACCAACATTTGAGATCACTCCTAGTGGACAGTCATTTCTGCTGGCTTCTTTACAACTTAAAAGTCATATCCTTTCAAATGTACCCTGAACCCTCCCTTCCCAGAAGCCTGCCAGGGCCACTGGCCCAGTGTGACCCCTGCCCCCGCCCCCCAAGCCCTCACAGGAGGTCACTTGCCAGCCTCAGTATCCACTTCCTGAAAGCAGAGTCACCTTTTAAGGGGTCCATTGGCCTCCGGTGATAGACGGATGTCTCCCAGGGTTGCTGGCAGCAGAGACGCACTCACCCAAGGATCCTGGGATTAATCAGCTTGGCCACCTCTCCCCTCCCTTCTCTCCACCCACTCTTTCCTCGCCTGGTGTTCTGCCTCTCCCACCGCACCCAGGACACAGCTGAGCCAAGACCCCCCTGGAAGTCCTTTTCTCAGCTCAGGCCGGCTCTGCCCCAGCAGCCTTGGGAGCCCGTGACCGTGCAGCGTGACCGGCCCAGAGCTCCCACTCTTTCCACTTGAGTCATGTTCAAATGCCACGTCCGGCTGGTGCAGCCTCCCTGGACCAGGGTTGTGTCACGGCATGTGTCCTGGGGCCACCCCCACTCCATCCCACACAGTCCTCCTGAAGCAGGCGAGGGCACCTGAGGGACGGAGTCCCAGGGCCTGGACAGGGCCCTGCGCCGGTTTGAGGTGGGCCCGCCTCTGCCTGTACCTCCGGCATTTCCATCCCGAGGTCCCAGCCTGGCTGTGGCTGGGACCGTGGAGGCAGGAGTTGTGACATTACTCACACTGACCACAGGGTCTGGCTGCAGAAAGCACTCTGGTGTGGGGGCACAAGAAGCGGAAAACCTGCCTTTGGGGGGACTGGTGACAGTGACGGGCTCTCTATTTCCCTCCTTCTGGGATTGGAGAAACACCAGGTATCAAACTGTCCCGGGCATATAGCAAAAACAACAGCGATAGTAACACCCACCACTTACATGGCGCTTACTATGGGCCAGGCTCTGTTCCCAGCATTTTACATGCATCGATTCATTTTCCCCTGCAATAACACTTCGAGGCAGATACTCTGACTATCTCTGTTTTACCTGGGAGGAAACTGAGTCACAGAGAGGCTAAGGAACTTCCCTAAGGCCACATAGCTGGTCAGTGGCAGAGCTGAGGTGGGAAACCGGGGCTAGCGCGTTCAAAAACGGGAGAAGGAGGAGGACCGGCGGTGAAGAAGAGGCACACGACCGGGCTGCTACCATCCAGGACGCCAGATCAGAAGGCCGGCTGGGAGGCAGATGCTGCGCAGATGGAAAACAGGAAAAGGAAGTGACAGCCACGTGAGAAAGGTATGAGGAAAGAAGGCCAGTGCCACAAGAAGGACCGCAGGGAGAGGACTCGTGAGTGACCAGCTCGGACAGAGCAGGGCTGGGTCTCCGCTTCCCCACTCAGGTTGCCCTGCCGGCCCCCAGGACAGAGTCAGGCTTCTGTCCGGGAGCCCCTGCCTTCCACCAGCCTGTGCGCTCACCCATAAAACAAACACAGCCAAAGAATTTGTGAGGATTAAGCCTGATGCAATCATATAGCAGCTACCACCATGGGACCCTGACAGGGAGCTGGATGCTGGGGCAAGGGGGTTTGCAGATATTGACTTATTTATCCTCTCATGTACCTTACGGAGGTTAAATACTGTTATTAGCCCCGATTTACAGCGGAGGACACGGGCACGGAGCTCATAGTGACACTGGCCCAGTGTCGCGGAGCAAGTGAGTAGTGGAGCCAGGAACCGAAAGCCGCAGTCCGGGCTCTCAAACACTAAGCGACATTACCTCTCAGAGAAAGCAGCGAGTGGCCCTGGACAGTTAGCTCCTTAGGTTAGACCGTCATATGATACACCAAGACCATGGGTTTGATCCCCGGTCAGGGCACATATAGGAAGCAACCAATGACACTGGAATAGGCTCAACAACAAATCAATCTCTCTCTCTGTCTCTCTCTCAAATTAATAAATGGGGGAAAAAAAGTCAGTTGTGGTCCCATCCACCAAGCTCTATATGTACTTTAAGTATATTTTACTGATTATGCTATTACAGTTGTCCCGTTTTTAATCCCCTTCGTTCCCCTCCACCTTGCACCCGCCCCCCACCAGCATTCCCCCCTTAGTTCATGTCCACGGGTCGTACATATAAGGTCTTTGGCTTCTCATTTCCTACTCTGTTCTTACCCTCCCCCTGTCTATTTTGTACCTACCGTTTATGCTTCTTATTCCCTGTACCTTTTCCGCCCGCTCCCCCATCCCCTTCCCTGCTGATACCCCTCCATGTGCTCTCCATTCCTGTGATTCTGTTCCTCTCCTAGTTGTTTGCTTACTTTTTGTTTTTTTTTTTCTTTTTTAGGTTCAGTTCTTGAGAGTTGTGGGTTTGTTGTCCTCTTACTGTTCACAGTTTTTATCTTCTTTTTCTTAAATAAGTCACTAACATTTCATATAATAAGGGCTTGGTGACAATGAACTCCTTTAACTTGACCTTATCTGGAAAGCACTTTATCTGTCCTTCCATTCTAAATGAAAGCTTTGCTGGATAAGGCAATCTTGGATGTAGGTCCTTGCCTTTCATGACTTGGAATACTTCTTTCCAGCCCCTTCTTTCCTATATGGTTTCTTTTGAGAAATCAGCTCATAGTCTTATGGGAACTCCTTTGTAGGTAACTGTCTTCTTTTTTCTTGCTGCTTTTAAGAGTCTCTCATTCTCTTTAATCTTGGGTAATGTAATTATGATGTGTCTTGGTGTGTTCCTCCTTGGGTTCAACTTCTTTGGGACTCTCTGAGCTTCCTGGACTTTCTGGAAGTCAATTTCCTTTGCCAGAGTGGGGAAGGTCTCCTTTATTATTTGTTCAAATAAGTTTTCAATTTCTTGCTCTTCTTCTCCTTCTGGCACCCCTGTGATTTGGATGTTGGAACATTTAAAGTTGTCCTGGAGGTTCTAAGCCTCTCCTCATTTTTTTTGTTTTTGGAATTGTTGTTTCTTCATTCCATTCTGGTTGAATGTTTATTTCTTCCTTCTGCTCCAAATTGTTGATTTGAGTCCCAGTTTCTTTCCCTTATTTCCTTTGGCATAGCCTTCACTTTTCCCTCAATTTTGTGACTGTATTCAACCATTTCTATAGGCATCCTGATTACCAATGTTTTGAACTCGGCTTCTGATAGGTTGGCTATCTCCTCATTGCTTAGCTCTTTTTCTGGAGTTG